AGGCGCCGAAATCGATTCAAGTTGACGAAGATGAGCTGCTTTTATCTGCTGCCCGCATTGCCGCCGAATCATTAAGAAGTGGACCAAAGCTCCTCGATGGGTGGTCTACATCCTACGAGCCCCGAAGCTCTTCCTTCAGTCCCGGGGCTAGTCTATCATCTTCTGTTGCATTCTCCAGAAGCCAGTCCCCCCAATCATCATCCTACATCAATGGCTATGAGGTCTCGCTAGCCCCAGATACGGATCTCGGACTTGGCCGTACGTTGTCTCGAACAGAGCAACGAATTCGACTGACAGGAGCTAAGGGTCTGGCGTACAAACCGTTGGATTTCACTCCTGACAAGAAACGGAAATCTCGCTAGGCTGGCAGTATTTTTAGCCCTGCGCAACCTCTTCCTGTTCTTTCCTTATCCCTGTTTTCGAACCATATGCAATCTGCTCGATCTGCGACACTCATCTCATCTGATTCCATTTCACCTTGAAGAGACCTACCGTGATTCTGGCTATTCAGTTTATCCCTATACCACTGCATTCAGCATCGGCGTTTTGAGGTTCATGTACGCCTTTATTGTGTCTACTTTTCTTCGGGTTTGGGGCTGGAACTGTTTGATTCGAGATTCCACTATGTCTCAGAATCTTGCTGAAATTGGCGCCCTATATTCCACTGCGAATCGAAGTAGAACCAGAATTTTCTATACCCATACATAGCATACCCTTTATGCTACAGTATCCGAATTATTTAGATGTTCTTTTCATGGATGTATATCTCTTTCATAACATCAAGAACGCGGTTGATATTCTCTGAGACAGACATTGATGGAGGAAGAAGGTCTTCCGTTTGCTATGGATTTTACTCTTACTTTCGGGTTTGTGTTCAACCTGAGTTAATGTAATTGGTAGATACGAATAGTTTAGCCGAATAATGTACTAAAAGAACTACTAGTAATTGAGAAGAATGAGAAATATTGGCAGTCAATTAATCACGAATCTACTTGAACTACTATTATTCTAGATGAGGATATAGCGGCAAAGTCACTAACTAGTAACTAGTTGTACATATACTAATGCCCTCCGTCGATGTACACACAGAAATCGGGATGACCTGGCTTTTGGAGAACGATGCATGCAATTGCTTGGCTCATACTTTCCCCACACAGGCATTTGTCGAACCAAATAGGATATCTTGGACAAGGTTTGGTGTTTGAAAGTGTGGTTGATCATTCACGCCCCTTTCACAGTTTTATTAGCCTTAGCTTGCATGCGTCGCATGGCTTCGCGATGCAACTCGCTCATATCGCCACGTTGCATACCCTCGGCAATTGCATTCCCAATGTGATGATTTGAAGAGGGAGTACGCTGTTGCGATTGAGTATAAGCCGGCGGGCTGTTTCGGTCCTGAGGTCCTGTAGGGATGCCTTGTTTGCCGAGAGGGTTACGTCTATCTCTTAGATCCTCCTGAACGGATTCCCGCCATGCGGCCATCGCGGCTGGTGTGTTTGTCGGGGAAGGTCCGTTTGTATGATTTCGCCGGGGAGTTGAGTAGGGAGTGTGCACTGGGAGTGGGGTTATGACTGTTTGCTGCTGCTGAGATAACATTGCGCGACGTTGAGATAGCGGCATGTCATCTGCCCCGTCGTGGATTCGGTATGAAGCCGATCGCTGCAGAGTTTCAACGGGCAATTGTCCGGGACTTGTTCGTGAGTAGGGATCCATGGTTAGTGAGAATGATGATAGCCTGTTTCGCATCATGTCCTCTCGTACTGCTATTAGGGGTGCGGGACCTCGCCACTGGGGTTTAGCAGCCTCTGTTTCGTCCGGAGGTGGTTCTGTGAGCCCGGGGCTTCCGAGAAGCGTATTTGTTTGGTATCCATTGCTGAAGCGCGGCTGTGCGGTTGGTGGGGGAGAATTGGGCGTCTTCTTTTTGTTCTGGTCTATATGAGAGCTGTTGGAGACCCGTCGACTCTCCCGTCTGCTTGGTGTATCTTGGACTCGGGGCTCTACTGCTGGAGGAGGCTGTGCGTTGAACGGTGTTTGCAGTAGTTCTTCAACATTGACGGGCACTGCGGCCTCCTCTGCATCAGGGGAACATTCTGGTTGCTCTTCTTCGATCGGCTTGATGGGTTCCAAATCGGGAGCTTCAGCATCGGCCAAATGCTTTGCCCACTCATTCGTTCGATAGGATTGTACCACTTTAGATGTCCGCTTTGGCAGTTCCTTCACCGTCTCTTCGTTCAACTTGGGAGGTTCAAGCTTGATCGGCTCTGGCTCAATCCTGGGTTGTGGCTCTGGAGACTTGCGTTTGTCATGCGGAGTTACTCTCTTGGTTCCGTTACAGCTCTGAGGGGACGGCGGCGATGGATCTTCTGCATGAGATTTCGTATTTTCGCTATCGGTGATATCAGTCTTTTCGGGACCGTCGGAGTGGGGTTTATTGCATTCGTGATCTTTCAAGACAACTGCTGCAGCCTCTGTGTCCTTGGTGGCATTTGTCGGTTGTCTTCCTTCCTCAATAGCTGATTCGCCTTGGTATTCAGCGGGGTTTGATGAAGATCTTTCAGGCTTTTCTTCTTCTTGGACGATGTCTGAGGCACGTCCAGAACTTCCATTACTCTGTCGGTTGACCATTGTCAATGAGGTCTCCGAAGCTGCGGTATGTGATTCTGCGTTGAGGGCCCCTTTGGTCTCGTCTGTCCCAGGTCCCTCTTCGATGGCTGGGGTGGGCGATTTTTCGCTTCCTTTCTGAGTGCTTCTTTCACCACCATCTCTATCAATTGGTGACTTTCTGCCATGGGACTGGTGGTCAGGTTTTGCCTGCGGCTGCTCATTCTCATCTACGTGAGACTTCCCATCCGACTCTGGAACTTTCTCCGTAAGTCCAGGGCTATCATCTTGAACAGTAGGGCAATCTGAGTCCAGGTTGCCGCCCTCGTCTACGGTGCCGTGCACAGATGAGGTGCCATCATCGACGGACACCAGGGCCTCTTGAGACTGAGACGTGGGTAATTCGTCGTTTCGAGACGTCCGTGGCATGCACGATGGCCCGGATAGTCGCTTTGAGCGGATCGTTGCAGTATCTGAACCAATGACAGCCGTCATATCAGAACTTTTATCGTCCTTTATCTTGGCTGCATCTGCACCGTCAAAGACCTTGATCGGCAGTGGGCCACTTTCCTCCTTCAGGTTATCTGATATTTCTTTGGCCGTTCCAGTCGGGGCGTGGTCGAAGTCACCTTCAGTCGCTCCCGTCACATCTGACCCAGCATCGCTGTTTGCCTCTCTTTCCCTGCAATCGGAACAGCGGTAGGAGCCTTCAGATGTCTCAGCTATGCTTTTCATGTCGTAGACGTCTCCCTTCTCCATAGCATCCATCTCGTCTGCCTGACATTTGGTGTCATCTCCGAGTTCCGAAACGCCTGCGGCTGGTTCGGCACCACCATATCTCGCTTCCCACTCCTTCCGCTCTTGCATATTCTGCTCTTCCAGCTTTCGTCCGAGTTCGGCCTCGGCTTCTTCCTTCTTCTTTTGCTCTTCATCGCGCTTCTCTTTCTCCTTCCGTCGACGTTCACGAACCACTTTCCATAGCCTCAGTTGTGAGACCACGCCCAAGATAGCAATGATAACTGTAGCAGCAAGCTCCACACGAATATTACGGGTGATAGGATACGTATTCGTATTCAACGGGAAGATGTTGTCGTTCAGACCTAGAACTGGTGTCAGTTGCTTTGCCCTCATTCGTGACCGAGATCAGACTGACTCACCCCATATGTAGAGCCAAAACTCTTTCAACCCTGCCCGACTAAAACAATCGATTCCAAGTGCAACAGCGGTGCCTCCGGAAATACCAGTTGACACAATGAGTCCGTAAGGACGTGTATGATGACTGAATGACAAGGCATAGAAAGCAACTGAGATTGCACCGATGAACCCACTTTTGGAATCGGTAGTGGTGAGAAGACCCCCCGGTTTCAAGGAAAGCAACCACATGCTACTGCAAAATCCCCCAAGTAGGCATCCAAGGCCTTCGGTCAATTCCTTGAAAACGATCGCAAGCGCGCCGAATGTAATGCCAGTAAAGAATACGGCAACGAGGTACGCCCCCTGCACGGCAACTCGGACAGGAGGGCTCATCACATAGACAATAAGAACCTACAGGAGAAGGTGATTAGACAGCTGGCTTATCAGGATTTGTGAGAAAACCTACCGTCACTCCAAGGCTAGTCAGAAAAGCCGTGGATAGGAAGACTTGTACCCTAGATCACTGTAAGCCACAGAATCGAAGCCTGTGAAGAGTAGAGAACTAACCTTAGATTGCGAATGCCGATCACTGCGAGAATGGCGCCTGTGACGATGAGAATGAAACCGCCGATTCCCAGAGCAGGTGTAACTGTGGGCTGGATAGGAAGGGCATCAGGACTGGTCGAGTTCTTGCCATCTTTGTTTCAGGTTAGTATCGAAGAGGAATAAATGGGGGCATTGGAATGCAGGTTCCCTTGCCTTGCGATGCCTGAGACGTGTTCAAGGACGTTATAGTTGTGGATGCTGGGAGGGTTGCATTCGATGACGCCGTGGAATTGCTGTGTGTTATCGCTGATTCTGTCACGCTTGGTGATGCTGTGTCACTGAAGGTTTCACTAGCAGCTGTCGTGCTCGGAGTGGCCTCTCTTTCTCCAAGGCCGTTAAGCTCGGGGCGTTGGGGTACTGAAGTTTGCGCGGCGACAAACAAGCCATGCGCAAGGCAGGCGAGCAGAGCAAACACAAGCAAGAATCGCATGGCGAATTTAGATCGATGACGAATCGCACAAGATAATCAGTGTTACCGATAGGCTGGTTCCTGACTAAACGATGTCTGCGCCTCCGTACAATGGCAGTGGGATTCAGAATGTTGCCTGTGGTGTTCTCAACGGCCACTTTTTCACATAATTCCCATGCAGGCCGCAGACACTTGTAAGAGTAGGCCTATTTTCGCACGATCAAGTCTCGAGATAGGCAAAGGGATTGGGGGAAGCGTGGCGTGATTCAGGCGGATTGCTCAACAATACAATGATTTCATCTCTACCACCTATATGTAGCCATGAGGGAGAGCGAATTGGGAGGGAAATGGTGGGCAAAGGAGACTACGAAAAAGAAAGCAAAGTAGGGGAGCAAAAGAAATAAAAGTCCCCAGGCTTCACGTTGGAGGTGATCTAAAAATGACCGCTTTTCTTTTTCTTTTCCTTCTTTTTTAGTCTTGAAACCTAACCATTCCAGTCCGATAGCCACGGTCTGCTTCATCGGCAATTCGAGGAGAATAACGATGGTAGCAGTAGACTACCTGCACGAAAGATGCGGGCTGATCCACTCCCTGTCGCCCAAAAAAGCAATATCCTTCGCATGGTTGTGCATGTTAAATGGAATTATTTGGCAAGGATCCGCCCCTGCAATTCATTGACTTTGGAGTTGTCGAATAAGCATGGGGTACTCCATGCATCGTGATTAGACATTATCCATCATCCTCTATAAAGAGCAGCGAACTGGACAATAATCTTTGTCTCCCCAATCGCAAACACAGCCACCTACTTGATCGGTTCGAAACTGTGAGCCCCCATTTGAGAACAGTGGAAATAGGGTCAATTGTATGTCACAGGCCAGAATTTTATCAGATGTCGGCAAGTCTTGGGAGCCTGGAAGGAAGAGCATAGGAGCGAATGCAAGCGTGCGATGGCCGGGTTTCAATAGGACGGCTGAACGCGTTGGCCTACTTGGCCACGGAAGGGCGATGACATATTGAGCGTAAGAGAAGATTGGCTCTAGCCCTGCCTTGTCGCGGTCTATGGTCCGGATTAAGATTTTCAATAGAGCGCAGGCTACGGAGTAACTTGGTTTGCAACGATCCAGGGACGCGACGACCGATCGTCGCGATTTGGCGATCAGAACTAGCACTACTAGCCGCCCATAGTTAAGCTGTTCGTGTGATCGGCTGCAGGTCACGACACATCTAATTTCAATCGCGGAGTTTTCAGCCTATCGTGCCCCCGGCTCGGAGGACAATGCTCACTGGGGTTTCTGACAAAGACAAAGCCGTGCTCTCAATGGACCGTGCTGCTAGTCTAATATCCGACATGGCCTGATTTCCCAGGGGTTCTCCGTGTCTATTGACAAAGTAGTCCGGGCCACACGGAATCCTTGATCCTAGGAAGTATACTGGGTAGATATATGCGAGTGGATTCTCGGCCCATGGCTAAAATAAGGTGCATTAAAACTTAGCGGCCGGGAAGCAAAGTATGTGCGAACAAGGGCTTCCGTCGAGGTCGAGCGGTGTCGAGCAATGCGCCGTTTGTGGTCGAACCATCCGACGGAAACTTTGGAGGTTAGTTGAATCCCATCCAATGTCTGCCAGCACATGCCAATAAAGAATGCACGGTAGGTGCGGTGAGCAGAGTTTCAAGGGCAAGTGGAAGTCTTAAGAGGCATGCACTCTTGACGGCCAAACCTCGCATCTGTGCCTTGCTGCTTCCCCAATGGGTTCACAATATGACATCTCACAGGCTACAGCTGCATTGAAGCCAACTACCTCGTAACTGAGCGGTTGACTCGCTTAATGTTCCCAGGGTTCAAAGTTTATGATTGATAAATGCATGCACCTGCAACACACAAAGCATCACCTAAAGTTATTTTTCATGCTTGCCAAAGCAAGATTGAACAGATAGCAGCCTGGAGATTGGTGATTTTGGATACGCAATGTGCGTAGATATGAGGAGTCCATTGATCAAGGGAGAGGAAGGGGTAAAGCACGGCCGACCTACAATCAAGGATCTTGTGTAAGATAGATAATGAGTTACTTGGTAGAAACATGGAAGGTGGAGGGCCCAATGGGGTATGGCGGATATAGTTTCACGTGACATATCGGCGACGCCGCGGAAGAGAGAGCTACTCTCAACTCCACTCGGAAACAGGCCATACCCTCGCTATAGCATTCCTGTCACTGTGCATCTACTGCCCTTATTTTTTCTTTTCTAGAACCCAAACCTTCTCCCACTATTCCAACATGTCGGCCATTGCCTCTGCGCTGCGCCCTACCCTCCGCGCCTCCTCCGGTGCCGCCCTGTACACGCGTTCCTTCAGCTCTTCCTCGTCGCGTTCCATTGCTCGTATCATGATCACGGGTCGTCTGGCTGGCCAACCCGAGGTGCAGGCCACCGCTTCTGGCCAGGAAGTTATCAGATACACCGTGGCCTCTAACCAGAACTCGAGGGATAAGCGCCCGCCGAGCTTCTTCAAGGTGTCGGCCTTCAGTGAGGGAAACCAGCGCGATTTCATCACCAACCTGCAGACGGGGTAAGTTCTCTTGCTCGTCAATTTCAGTCCCTTCTTTGAACTGCAGATATCCGTGTCTGCTGTTCCATTAATTCCCTCCGGATGCGCCGTTTACATCCCATCCAATTCCGGTTTCATCAATCGCGCTAACTTGCTCTATTTCTATCACAGAACTCTCGTGTTTGTCGAGGGCGACGCAACCATGCGCCAGTGGGAGAACGCAGAGGGCAAGAAGCAGACGGCCCTGAACATCACGCAGCGTACGTCATTGTCCACATCCTCCCCTAACCTACATACGATGAAACATATCACATACTTTTCTCATGCTGTAATGCGGAAATACTAATATGTCCTATTTTAATCCGCAGGCGCTCTCGAAGTTCTCAAGCGTCCGTACAACCCCGAAGCTTTCTCTGAGGAGCAGCAGCACCAGCAGCAGGAGGAGTAAATGGGCACAGAGTATGATCGGATAATACTGTAAGAGTTGGTTGGCAATTCTCTATAATACCGGGCGGCAGGATGATGCAGCTGTCTTGAAGTCAGACATCACCCTATTCCTTTGCTGGTCTCAGGTGTTCGATGCAGACTTCTCTCTCTCAATTGTCGGTGAAATCGGGCATCATGGGCCAGCCTGCCTGCCATCAGAAACTCTTTTCATTTGGGTTCTTCCAAAGTTTCCTTGGCCATATGTATCATGTCTAGCAGTCTTCTCATGTAAAGTATCCTCTTTTTTTTTTTTTTTCTTTCCTCATATGATATGCTCTCTATCTTTTCTCGGCATGACTTTGCGCGTATGTCTGTCTGTCTGCTCTGCTTGGGGCTCGTGTTGCTATAAATAGTTGTGTGTAATCTGACTGGTCTACTCCATACTAGGTGCTGCTGCTACTCCGTACTACTTACTTATCTACGTACTACGGCTTTTCTATCTGCTGCACCGCTGCATGTAGCAGTTGACGCGTACGGTCCGCTCAGGTAATGGCTGTGTCGCGTAATCCGCCGTTGTTGGTAAAAATAAACGATATCAGAAGGCAAAGGCAAGTATTCGGAAACTTAGTACACGTTTTACGTGTCTGGCACGTTGAGCTGTCTGGTAGTACCATTTATAATACATCGATTGATCGTCGGCTACACTCTGGATGATTGTGATCTGCCTAAGCGGTTCCGGTAGCTGACGTGAAGTAGGGGAACTCCTGGTTAAGTGTCATGGGTTTGAATAACAGTCTCTCAAGCAGGGTGATAAGAGAGCATACAGTAGAGGTTATTGAGTGCCAAGGGGATTAGTCGTAAATAAATCACTGTAGCCCCCCACCCCGCATGACCTTCCAGTGCTTGAAAAGAATTTCCACCCCAGCGGTAGATATTGTTACACATGCAGCTCGCTCTCCTGTCTGATGACCTGCTTGACCCGGATATGGTCCTCCGAAAGTGGCGCGGCGCCATGATCACTGCTTCCACGACTCTGACTCACTCCAGCCCAGGCATTGGTACGAATTGTGGTTGTTTGCTCGGCCATATGGCGCAGAGGAATCGCTGTTTCCTGTCCGGGAGCAGAAGGCCGACCTCGCAAAAACCAACGCAGTCCGTATCGCGATCTCCATTTTGATTGCTTGCCTGGTGACACTGCATCCTTTTCGATATCATGATAATCATGAGGAGATCGGCTTGCGTTGGCAGAATTATTAGAGTATGCCCTAGAGGTTCAGAGTTAGGCACGAGCAGCGTATCTGTAAGAGTACGGGCTCCCTTACCTTGCGGTGGTTGTCCATCTTCTATTGAATAGAAGCTTTGCCCGGCTACCCAGGGATTCTGACGCAGAGGAACTGTTTGCTGAGGATGATTGAAGAGATGTAAAGCAGTTGCCAAATCCTAGGAAAACCAAGATCGCACGGTACATCACGAATGCATCCCTCCCACTACCGAAGAAGATAAAGAACATATATCCCGAAGCTACCGGGATCCAACGGTCGTAGAAGACATGGCCCTCCACAGGAACCTTGATCACCTCGTTCCAGTCAGGCGGGTGAGCGACACTCCAAGAGTATGAATGCCATGGCTGAGTGACGATAATGTTCGATGCGACAACATATGTTTGAACTGGGATAATAGCCCACAGCATGATAAAGGCGATCAGAAACAGCCGCATGAACCGTGACTTGGTCAAGTTACTATTGGCGGACTGGAGGATGTCCCCAAATTGGTTTCGGTACTTGGTCAGGCGATGTAGCACGATGACTAGTCAAATGTTAGTATTCATTACAAAGCAAGGGAGACATCAGACGCCAGTGGACGAACCGCAATAGGATCCAGCAATCAAGCAGATGATAAGTGGCCAGATCCAGGCGAGCACGAGGGTCACCCAGCTCCGGTCATAGTTATTGAGGCAACCAGCAATAGCATACAGAATGTACCTGTTTGACTGATAGACGTAGTGCGTAAGCATCGCAACCACCGGGGCGATTGCACAGAACGAAAGGACCACCGCGTGATTCCACCAACGTTGCGACTGGTTTGGAACGAGATTTGCGCGACTCGTGTCCAAAACCTGTGCCAGGGTGCGAAAAATGCAAACCAAGGTCCCGGGTATAGCAACATAGCTGGCAATCATGACTTTAACCTCAATATCGCAGAGTCCCTTGCCGTCCCACCACGCATCAATGTCATCCGTCGGCCATATCAGAGCGTTGATGATATTGAAGATGTTGAGTAGGATATACCATAAAATCAAGCTGCTCGCTGCAACATTTCGGTTTTTGCAATGCAAGACTAGAGGAATGATACTGAGAAGGACGGAGACAAATGCAGTAACCGGAAGGAGTATCGCCTGCGAAGAAACCGGTGCCACTGAAGATGCCATTCTGAGTCTTCGTTATCTATTAGGCGTCCGTATCAACAGAGCATATGAGCCTGATAACTGCTGAAATCCGAATCATGCACCTTGCTGCTGGATACCTCTCTCGTTGCGATAGCCGGATGTCAAGATGAGAGAGATGATTGAATAACAACGACTCGTAGATATGACCCAATGTCATCCTACCAAGAGGAGGAATGCCATCCTGAAATACCAGGTGGTCCGGCACAGGCCAGATAGCGAGTGACAGACACATGAGCAACAGCGACCTTTTTATTGAGGTTCAAAACCCTGAATAGACGGAGTTAATGCGAAGCAAGCTTAACATGCTGGTGGGGCCTAATTGAGACAACTTCTCGTAAGAGCTGAAGCGACACAGAAGAAGCAAATTCCGAAATGGACCGAGGGGGTGTTGTGATATGTCGTGGCCATCTTGGGAAACACTTCGACGGGTTCCAGCAGCACAGGCCAAGGGAGTTGTCCAGTCAAGGGATCTCGGAGTGACAATTTCCCCTATGGATTGGCCCCAATAGACCAGAACACAGCTCTCTGAATTGGGGTGGAGATTAAGAGTGGTGCGATGCAATGAGGGTTGGTGGAGGTGCAGTGAACAGGAACTGCCTCCG